ATCGTTGAAGACAGGGACAAATTAGTCTAAAGGTCTGAGCCCTAGTCCTGAAGCTACCATGCTGGATTCCCTACAAGCGTGTTCAAGAACGCCGTCCAATGCAAAACAATGCATTTTGAGTTTCTAAGCCAGGGACTGAGACTGAGTGGGTCCAGAGGGCTGTGTACATCTCCTGGTGTCTTGTGCCTCCGCTGCCTGAAGAGCTTTGTTCTGAACCTGGCAGGGAACAGTAGGTTCATTTCGACTGCGTTGCCATCTACGGGAGTAACGGATGGCATTGGGGGATGAGTAATTGCACATCTATTGCACTGATTCGGCACTGCGCAACAGAGATTATCACTGCTGTTGAACTAACTGCAAGATCTGCTTAATGGAGTATTTGCCTTCAGCTAACAGGATTACACAATGCCTCACAGATTTGCAAATCATATGCGCTCGGGTTTTCAAAGTGCCGCTAAACACAAGCAATAGGCAAGATCAGGATCTTTATAATGGTTTTGCCACTAAAAGACACCGTGCCCTCAGACAGACGCTACCAACCCTGCCATGAGTCCTAGCATTTTAGGCTATCTGTTGCATCGCTTAATCTTACAAACTCACCATAGCTACTTTTCCCTTAATGAAGGCAGTTTATTCTGAGCTATACGGAAACTGTCTGCATGAATAACGCCTTCTTTGTTCTTCAACTCCCAGAAGAAAGTGAGTATTTTTGTTTACTGTATCTTCCCACAAATGTGCATTAAAAATACACACTAAGCCTCACTTTGCACTAATAGCCATAATAACCGTGACATTATCCATGTCTCCTCACTGTTCACATCCATACAGAAAGCCTTGGTTTTTCTATGTTAAATAAGTTCTCTTTGCTGTCCCCATTCCCCAACGCTGCATTAACACCATCAAACATGCAACAGATGAAACATCCCACAACAAAATAACACCACGTCTGGCATACAGAAGTACAGGGAGGGGAAGTGGGGAACCTCATATGTATCTGCTGGTCCGTGGTAAGAGTTTGTGTCTGCTCTCTTCTACTGGAAGTGGAAGCTAACCGTAGAGGCAACCAGTTCTTAATTCCTATGGGAGACAGCAAACATACAAAACAGTTGCAGCAGATCAGCTTAATGGGCAGTAAGTGCTTCTCCGTCTTAACTTGGTGTAATTGTTACACCTATCCATAAGCTAAGATAACGAGCTGACCGAAGAAGTTTTCAAATGTCGTCCACAGAACAATGATATTATGCCTCTCTGCTTTCCCAGTCCTTATCTGTTCAGTCAAGTGGACATTTAGTTCAACTGGGCTATGTTGCAGTGCTCCGATATTTTCTTCCATTAGCATGACTTTAAAAGACTGGTCTGGAATCAGAAGCCCGCCATGTCATGCATAGGCACATGCAGTTTTCATGCCATTGAGACTGCAACGTCACAGGTAACATGGGAGTCACTGAAGATCTTTGAGTGAATGGTATGCTCACCCCTCTCCATTTCCTTTTGTCCTATGTTTGTGCAGCATCTAGCACAATGGGCTCTTCGGCTGCGGCTGGGGCTCTAAGGTGCTACTACATTACAGCGATGATCATGTTGGTGTTAGGACCTTCCCCTTTGTTTGAGCAACAGTGTGTTTTGGGGGTGGGGAAGAGAAGGATGCACAAAGTTTGATTCAAAGAAGCTAATAAATTAATTCACGTTAGAATACTGCTTTGGAATATAAAAAGTGAGCTTGAGCTCAGGAAAGCTGTGCTAGATATAGATATAGATATATGGATTTTTTTTTTAGCTAGCCTATAAAAGGTGCATATTTATCCTAACACAGTTAATTACCTCTCTCTGCTCTTGGAATATAGCCCCAGAGCCGTGCGTGAAACAGAATGAGACTTACTGAGCTGTATGGACTAGGACTTGGTGCTAAAATTTTCACCACTTGCCCAGACATCTGGAAATTCCCCTCCTAGCTGCTAGCTCTTTCTGATCAGAACCTCTTCATTTTTTTTCATTGACATCATTAGCATCTGAGGTCATCAAAAGGGTTGAATACAAAAGGACAAGACTGCAGGTCCCACACGCAATGTGCTGACGGTCGTTCCATCATTCCATTAAAGGTCTTTGATCACTTCTGGTCGTCTTGGTGGTGTGAATCTGTGACGACAGCCAAGAGCTATTAAAGGGGACTGGATCTGAGAAGAGAAAGCTGGGCAAATACTAGCAGTGCTGGAAAGATGGGAGCTCTGTAAATCCAGCTCGAGACACAGCATGGAAGAAAGCCTGCAGTAGAGATCCATTTTAGCCTATGGTAGGTAAAACACACTTTAAAGGTTGGTAAACAGGGCAAAGTGCTAACCTCGTAGCAGTCTGTATTCAGGAGAAGCTCTACAGGAGAGTCCCCAGGGGACACTTGCTACTATGCTTTTGAGTTCAACTCACCATTAGCTCTTATCTGGCACTGCTTCCCTCAAGTCTTGCCAGCCGTCACTAAACTATATTTCTAAGACTATGAAAATAGTGCTGGACTAAGTGTGAAGATAGAGAGACCTATAGCAATAGATGGAGCATTGTAAGCACCTATAATGGCATTTTTAGTGATTATTAAAAAGCAGTAATGGAGTTTGTTGATACTCTGCTAAAACACACTACAGCACGACTGACAAGAGCGAAAGCAGCTAAGATAAACCCAGGCACGTATGCTGTCTGTAATGCTTCCAGCTGCCCACTCCAACTAAGGAGCTGAACATCCAAGCCCTCCTCTTCCTGTCTTTGCTTCTTCTCTTGCTTTCTGCTGCTTACTTCTTTACCAGTAAGAAGGAACTGGTGCTCAGCAGTAGCATAATGAATGGTGGGTGATGAGGGCAATCAGTCCCAGGTGCCCACTTAGAGAGGGCACGTGAATGGCAGCTGCTGCTGCCTGGCTGCTGTGCCCCTAATGAACAGGATCTAGTGGCGATTCTGTCAAGGGTTCACGAGGCAGGGTAGAGTCCTGCTCGCTGTCCCACAGCTGCTTTGCAAAACTCAGCAAGATTAAAAAGAGAGCTCAGAGCACTTAGCACCCACAGCACAAAGATGCTCCAAGATAACAAAGAGCTACTTTTATATCATTGTGTTTTCCTCCCTTTCCTGCATTAAGTAAGGCCACTTTAGCCACAAAATAAAAGGTTGCCAGTTTGCTAGCGGGTTCGGTACTGCGTGCATGAGTAGGATTGCTAAGCCAGCTTTCAGCTCTTGGGCCATATTCAGTTTGAGTACTTTGGGTCACGTGTAAGGTCCTTTGGAAAATGGCATTTTATTGAGGAAGAGCAAATGAGAAAATGTTTCAGCAGCTCAACTATAGCTCACAAACTGGCTTGCATTCTTTCCTGAATCCTGACACAGGACAGGGCTGTAGATTATCCTCTTATAAAGAGCAGAACACCTTGAGATAGTGACATTAATATATATTTCAAGTCCTTTCAGCATTTTGTTAAATCACTGGTATTGTCTCACTGGTATGAAAAGAAAGATTATCTTTGAACTCAATGGCAAAGTATTGTTCTGTAACTAGACAACCCATGTACAAGATCTCAAAAGATCACAGAGATGTTCTCACGTAGGCATGGCAACCAACTTCTAACGACAGAGAAAAAGGAAGTATTGATTTATACTTATGTTAAAGGACTTAATTGGGCTGACCCCAAAAGTCAGTTTAGCTCAATGAAACATGCTTTCTGGTCTAACTTTAAGACAGAGCACTATTAAAACTTTCTGTTTAAGGAGGAAACGCTCTATCAGTGCTAAGTGCCCAGACATCAGGTTTCCAGACCGGTAGGGTAGATGACAGCCCAGAGAACGTTGTAGAATTTCTTTCTACTTCTGTGGCGTCAGGACTTCACCCAATCTCCGCAACCCCAAAAGGAGGAACAGACGGCAAATGCTAGCTCAGCTATAACAGTGTATGCCACTAAAGCCAAGTCTGGCTATGATGTTGTTCTTGCTAGTTCCTGAAAGTAAGCTGAACAGGAGTAGCTGTTGTAGGGTGCTCTTAGCCCCAAGCAGATGCTGATATTGGTGGTCAGTCACCATGACGCAAGTTAAGCTACCACTTTTGGTTTCAGACACTAACCTCTGGGCAGCCTTGGACTGAGATGCAAATCAGGGTGGAATTTTATACCCTTAGTCTCACTCTGCTTACAATACTTTTGGCACTAACCACCAAGCTACTGCTGCAGCGATGCTGCCAGAGATGTTTTGCAATGTCAGGCTTTATAGAGGACGGGACCAAAGTCCGGTCTCATTAAAGTCAGTGGGCACTGACACCAATTACACCGTGTTTGATCTACGGTGCTTAGTTCTGATGCCTCCCATTGGCACTGCCAAAGGCAGAGGAGACCTTTGTGATTCTCTGCTGTGACCGCTTGCATGGCACAGACCAAACAGCCTTGATGAGATTTCCTCACTGCATGACCTGGCGCTCCCTTTCCCATATGACTAGCCGCTGTCAGTTGGACTCTGAGGCAGTTGAGCTGCACGGTGGGTCAGAAACCCTGTTTGATGGCAGCAGCAAGGCTTATCTGCTATGGATAAAAATGAATTTGAGTTTGTTGTGGGCTTTGAAGGCTCCTTGAGAAGCTCGTTATTTGTGCAGCAAATCTTGGTGCCCCAGAGGAGAAACAGAGAGAAACTAAATGACAAAACCTGGCATCCTGTGGAGCTCTATTTGGTGTCTGGTTTATTGGAAGCAAGGAGTTAAAATGCAGATGATCCCAAATTTACATTTCAGCAGACTCAGCACAACCAGCTCACTCTCTGGCCTAAATAAAGTGCATTTCCTCAGCCCCATCTTACACAGTTCCCTTGTCCTTACAGTGTTGCAAGAGTAAGGACTGAGGAGGAACTGAGGTCCCAGGCTGGGCAGCCTAGCTGACGCCTGCGGCTGGTATGAGCTGGGAGCTGGGTGGAAACACGTGTGCTACCAACAGGGCAGGCAGCTGGGGGGAGGCAAGGGGTGGGGAGCAAGCCAGTGCATCCACCTAGCCCAGCTCTTTGCAGTTCCCCACAGCCCAGGGCCACGCTCAGCAGCTTCTGACCCCTGTAAGAGGTGCTCTTCCCTTCCTCGTTGGCTTAGGGCCCGATCCAAGCTCCATTGCAGCAGGCTGAGGGCAGGTTAGAGCCTACCCTGTCATTTGGAAGTGTCTAGTGGTGCCGAGATGGAAGATCCCAGCTGAGCTCCATTGTTGCAGTTCCGCTTCCTCGTCACTCCGCACGCTGCTCTCCTGAGCTTTACCGGGGTCCCGGCCAAGGAATGATCCAGACGAGGTCAGTGGGGGTATTGCAGTCCATTTTAATACAGCAAAAAAACCCAGATCCATCATTTTTCTACCTGCCTGCTTATTTTTAACAGCTCGTGCACGTTCTCAGCTTGGTTGCTGGAGCGAAATGCAGGCAGAGAGAGGCTGTCAGGCTAATGGTTAGAGCACAGGCCCAGCAGTCCACATTCCTGGGCTCTGTCCTTCATTCCTAGGCAATTCATTTCGCTGCCCCGCTGTTGCTTATGTCTTCAGGATGGTGATAACACTGGCCCACCTCCCAAAAGCCTTTACAGAAGAGTGCACTAGTTTGTTTCTAACAACTCATTCACGTCCTAGGTACATCTCTTTGACACCCCAATGGGATATCAGTTCCCTAAAGCATTTCTAAGCCCACGAACAAGCGCACGTGGAATGAGTAGCTTATACAGTTTACGGCTGGTTTCAAATGCAGGTGACTTAACCTCTTCAGCGCCCGGGCTTTGCTTCCTGAAATGCTTGGAGGTGACTCGCGTGGACCCAGGGAAAACGCCCTGCGGTAGGAGCTGAGGTTTTAACCAAGCCAAGTGTTGAGCAACTGTCAAGCAGAGAGTTGCAACAAAGACTATTCAGATTGAAACACTAGAGCAATCAGAAGTGAATTTTTAACTCGGGATGAGGAAGTGAATCCAAGCGCTGAGCACGGAGCTTGACTCATGAACAGCGTCTCGCTTAGATCCGTAATTGGCTGCACAGATGTCCCAAAAGTGCCACCGAGAAGTGTATGGGTTGGAAAGAGGGGATGTTGTTTCCAGCAGGTCCGACACAGGACAGACAGCCCCCGCTGCGGAGGGGACTTCTGGGGTTCCCCAGACTGCCACCAAATTTGCCCGTGTCTTCCTTCACCTTCTGCTATTGTTTGCTGAGCTGATAAAAATCTTGCATTCTCCGTCTAGGATTTTGGCTGCCCAAGGCCTCAGAGGCCAGCTGCAGCTTTGGGGCAGGCGTGTGGACTTCCAGAAAAACAAATTATTAACCTCAGTGGCTAAATCAGACATGCTCAAGCCCAGAGGTCTCTTCCAGTCAGCTCAGTGCTGGGGCAGCCTCCCACCCCAGCGTGGCACAATGGCCCCAGCACTGCATGGAAAGTGAAGACCCAGTTCAACCACTGATCCATAAGGTGACCAAGCCCCTCTCCATTCTCTGAGCCTCAGTTTCCCCATCTATAAAATGGCAATAATGTGAGTTGAGATCTCTTTTTGAGATCTGTGAATAAAAATGCTCGCAGAGCTAGTTGTTATCACCAGGCTCCACTCCTCTCCCTCAGCACAACTTATTCCATGCCAGCACTTTCCACTTCATGTTGTGTGGTCAGTTTTTACCCTCACACCACACTTCTTGTAGGAAGTGGCATTTGATCCCTGTTCGGTACAGCAGGCACAGAGTTCAGTCACAGCACCATATAAATAATAAAGATTTCATTTTTATTTTCTGACCGAGCTTGCCCAAAGACTTAAAATGGAGTCTAGTGGGTCCTGCACAGATTTGGCAAGCAGGACACCTGAGTCCTATCTGCGGCTGTGCTGCTCACGGTAAATTTGGACAAGTTGCTTCTCTGCTTGAGAGGCTTTGGTGCAAGGTGATCTGTTCGTATCATCATCATCATCATCATCATATTTCAACTAGCGTTATCCTGTTTCAGCAGG